ACCCTCAGTTTGTGTTCAGGAAGTGAAAAGCATGATCAGCTGATCGACTCGACTGTTGAATATTCTGGGTCTTGGGTTGCGTTCACAGAACGTTTTTGGTTGTCCAGTCAATGATGCTGTAAATGTGTTTCTGTCCCAGTAATAAACACTGGTGACTCCGCCCACACGTCACACTCGGCTGTGTGCTTCAAATTTCAAGCTGTTATCTGTATTTCAATCACATATTTTACTATTTTAAATAAATTGTAGTCGTTTACAGAAGCAAAAGAACAAAAACTGCCCAAACACTCATGACCTCACCGTACACTCAAGAAAAGATCTTCAAATGTGAGAACGAGTCAAAATGGTCTTATGTTGTAGAAATAATGCTCGATCATGTCTTTCCACAAGCTTCCTGTGCAAATGTCTGATTCTTTACAGACTTAAATCTGTGAGCAGATCACCCGACATGACTTTCACACGCTTGGCTCTAAACTGATGTTGCATTTGAGGTCTGCAGGAAATCTGAGACATCAGAGCTTCTGGTGCATTCACGAGTCACTCTGAAGAGTACAGTAATGTGAAGAGTGGTTTAAATGAGCCGTTTCCTGCTCGCTGATCCTCTGAAGTGATATTCAGGCAGAAGCAAACTTTATTCTAACTTTATTTTGTCTTTATTTAAATAAACAGAGCTGTACATGAACACAGTGGAGAGAGTGAACGGTAGAAAAGTGAAAACGTGTGCACAGAGTCCGAGCTGGAGTTTGTTTTTGGCGTTTTGAAATCTGCGCAGAAAAGCGTCGCTGGTTTACGGGGTTAAACATGGCGGATTCAAACGTTCGCATCAGAGCGGTTTGTCTCTGTCCGCTGAGCTTTACGCCGCCTTTCATGAATCGCTCGTGTGGTGCAAACCTGTGAGCACTTTTTAAACATGCAAACCTCTGAAGGCACATTCCCGTCGGCGCCTCCGTACGAGACCGAGACTCCTCCCTGATTCGAGTCCCGACCCGCTCGTTTAGCGGCGGCGGTTTAATGTCTCGACTTCCTCCGAGTGTCGCTTAACGTCTTCAACATTAAAACGTTTCTTCTTCTGTGACGGAGGCCTCAGGAGAGAGTCGTGACAAAAGAAGGACACGCGAAGTGCGGGGTCTCGCGAGTCGGCTGATCCACGGCGCCGCCCTCAGGGCGAGTCGTCGAGCGGCGCCATGAGCAGCTGCAGCTCTTTGAAGGTGCTGCCGTGACGACCGACCTGCGTCGCCTTGTTCTTCACGATGTTGCTCAGGTTCTTCAGCTGCTTGCAGCAAACTCGGCACTTCTGGTGTCTGGAAGCACAAAAACATCAGAGGACAAAGACGTTGGCGATTAAAACGGGTTTCCTTCAGTGATCGAACAAACCGCCACTGATGATGATGTGTTGCTATGAATTATGGGACATCTTTGCTCCAGTGTCTCGTCTGATTTACGTGCTGTGGACTGACTGTCGCTGGTTACAGTTAAATTCATTTTATTGTGAAGGTTCCTGTCGTCTGAATACTACACCTAAGGTGGTTTAATGTTTCCTTTTTTACCTCCTTTGGAGGAGACACTGAAGCATCCTTCATTCTGCCCCACCTCACTAACACGCTCTCTCTCTGAAGCTCATCTCAGGAATAACGTCCTTTAACCTCAGCAGCCTGTGTGCTGCTGGCGAGGGCCTGCGTCCTCGCCAGCAGCACACAGGTGACACCTGCTGGACAAACAAACGTACTACAGTCACTAAAATACAGCTGTGGCTCCTGCAGATGCACAGACTGCAAAGAGCCGGCTGAGGAGCGACTACAGCAGGAATCAAGTCTGAGTTCGAACACGTGTGTCAGACGTCTCCTTTAAAAACGTCCCACACAGAACGAGAGGCGGAGTCAGCCGAGGTTTGGGGCGTTTCCTCCTCAGAGTAATCTGAGTAATCAGCAGATTGATTGATGGTGCTGCTAAATCAGTCAAGCAGCTGTTGGACAGATGTGAGACTCACCGCTCCTCTCGTGTGATGTCGACCCCGACGGACGGCGTGGCCTTTAGAGTGTCCGAGATCAGCGTCCAGAAGTGCTTCATGACGAGTTTCAGAGACGTGCAGCCGGTCTGTATGTAGCTGAGGAAACGCACAGAGAAGGAAGCTGATTGGATGATTGAATTACCGACACACTGACGGCATCGGGGCAGGTTCAGGTTCAGGACGGGAGGAAGCGGAGCTCTGCTCCACCTCCTGACAATGAAAGTACTCCAGGTGACCTCAGGTTACCAAACAGGAAGTGATCTTTGTTTTTACTTAACGTCTGAATTAGAGTTTTAAATTCACTTTGAGAAGACGAAATCATCTCTGATGCAACCCAAGCTGCCAAGTTCGTCTGAAGCATCATCAGAACTCATTTCTCTCATTGTAATGGTGAAACCGTCACACTTGATAAAAACGCCCACAAAGATGCTGACGTTGTTTTAAAACGAACCCTCTGCCGCTGAACGCTCGCACGCCGTCTCTGGACAACAGAAACTTTACCTCGGAGCCGCTCACCTCTCGTACTTGCTCTGCAGCAGTTTGTCGAGCTGAGGAAGGACGGTCGTGCACACGTCCAGCTTCC